CTCGTCTCCGTGAAAGAAAGATTGCTAACATGGCAATTGATGCTCTGTTATTAATTTGATACGAACTACAGAGTTTTTCTTCAGAAACTAAGACGAAAAAATATTTTATTCTAAGAACCCAACAGCTCAAATGCATAAAAGATAATCACCTACAATTTGAGAGATAGCAAACTATTCCAAATCTTAACTCTATCACTTACAATTAGAGAGGTTGATCTCTCCCAAAAATCTAACCACCCTAAGGCTGAAGACAATAATCTCATGCATAACTGTAATACTAAATATATTAACCCTATTTATACCTTCACAATAATAATTAACAAAGACTAAATTGCCTTTAGGCATAATTCTCTTTAACACAAAAATCATCTCTATAATAAATCTTCCTCCAATAAATAAAGTTGCTCCTCAAAACAAAGTAGATTTTTCCATTGTTTATTATTTTATTGCACTTTCTAATAACTTTTTGTATGAATTATAATTCATAAATTTGATTATCACATTATTATGACATTCATGAACATCTTGTGTTATTAAACGTTATCCAAAAAAAAATTTCTCCAATCAGTTAACATTGTTGTAACCTTCAAAATTTAATTAAAAAGATTTGAATCACAATACTCCATTCTGGCATAACTCTCAAACTTTTGTAATTATTAAATTTTAGTTAAATTTTACCTCTGCATACAGCATTCAAAACAAATTCAATTTTGTTTTGATATATGAATAATATATTATATATTGCATAATTTTACCCAATTTATTCTTCTAAAGAATTTTTTTAAACTAACAATATATTCATTTTGTGCTTCTAAATTTTTTCTTATTGAAACTATTAGTTAATAATGTATCCAAAAAAATGAACGTCTTGCCCATTTTGGTTGCTCTGAAAGGAAAAACACAAGAAAGTTGAACTTAGGGGATGTTTAGTGACATTCCTCAATTATATGTGATTTACTTGCATTTTACATGTTAATTTTACTGATTTATCACAGATTTACACTTGCGGAAGGTTTTTGTTGATGTTGTGCAAGTTACAAGTATTAGATATGTGCATTCTGGAAAGAAAAAAATCAACCTAAAAGCGGTCTAAAGCGGCGTGACCACGCAACAATTTCAGATGGGCGAAGTGATCACGCCGTGATCAGGTGTTACCACGCCGCGATCAGGTGTGACCACGCTGCTCGATTTAGAAGGCTGGCGTGACCACGTCTTTTTTCAACATGACAACAGCAACAGAGATGAAAATCAATTGGGATAAATTTTTGTTATCAAATTCACGGATAAAGCTATAAAAACATTTCATAGAA